ACATATAGAGGTCACACGTGACATATAGAGGTCACATGTGACACATACAGGTCTCATGTGATACATACAGGCCACATGTGACACATACAGGTCTCATGTGATACATACAGGTTACATGTAAGTCTCATGTGACACATGCAAGTATCATGTAACACATGCAGGTCACATGTGACACATACAGGTCACATGCGACAAATACAGGTTACATGTGACACATACAGGTCACATGTGACACATTTAGGTCACATGTGACACACACAGGTATCATGTGACACATGCAGGTCACATGAGACACATACAGGTCACATGTGACATATGCAGGTCACATATGCAGGTCACATGTGACCCATACAGATCACATGTGACCCATACAGGTCACATGTGCCACATGCAGGTCACATGTGACACATACAGGTCACATGTGACACATACAGGTCACATGTGACACATACAGGTCACCTGTGACGCATACAGGTCACATATACAGGTCACATGTGACACATGCAGGTCATATGGAACACATGCAGGTCACATGTGACACATGTAGGTCACATGTGACACATACAGGTCACATGTGACACATGCAGGTACAGGTCACATGTGACACACATACAGATCACATGTGACACATACAGGTTACATGCGACACACATACAGGTACAGTGACACATACAGGTCACATGTGACACAACACACATGGTCACATGTGACACATACAGGTCACATGTGACATATGCAGGTCACATGTGACACATACAGGTCTCATGTGACACAAGCAGGTCACATGTGACACATACAAGTCTCATGCGACACATACAGGTCACATGTGATAAACACAGTTCACACGTGACACTTATAAGTTTCATGTGACATATAGAGGTCACATGTGACATATAGAGGTCGCATGTGACAAATACAGGTCTCATGTGATATATACAGCTCACATGTGACACATACAGGTCTCATGTGATATATACAGGTCACAAGTAAGTCTGATGTGACACATGCAAGTCTCATGTAACATATGCAGGTCACATGTGACACATACAGGTCACATGTGACAAATACAGGTCAAATGTGACACATACAGGTAACCTGTGACGCATGCAGGTCACATGTGACACATGCAGGTCACATGTGACATATTCAGGTCACATGTGACACATACAGGTCACATGTGACACATACAGGTCTCATATGATACATACAGGTCACATGTGACACATGCAAGTCTCATGTAACACATGCAGGTCACATGTGACACATACAGGTCACATGTGACAAATACAGCTTACATGAGACACATACAGGTCACATGTGACACATTATGGTCACATGTGACACATACAGGTATCATGTGACACGTGCAGGTCACATGAGACACATACAGGTCACATTTGACACATGAAGGTCCCATGTGACACATGCAGGTGACATGTGACCCATACAGGTCACATGTGCCGCATGCAGGTCACATGTGACACATGCAGGTCACATGTGACACATACAGGTCACATGTGACAAATACAGGTCATATGTGACAAATACAGGTCACATGTGACAAATACAGGTCATATGTGACACATACAGGTCATCTGTGATGCATGCAGGTCACATATGACACATGCAGGTCACATGTGACATATTCAGGTCACATGTGACACATGCAGGTCACATGTGATACATACAGGTCACTTGTGACACATGCAGGTCATATGTGACACATGCAGGTCACATTTGACCCATGCAGGTCACATGTGACACATACAGGTCACTTGTGACACATGCAGGTCATATGTGACACATGCAAGTCTCATGTAACATATGCAGGTCACATGTGACACATACAGGTCACATGTGACAAATACAGGACACATGTGACACATACAGGTCACCTGTGATGCATGCAGGTCACATGTGACACATGCAAGATTCATGTGACATATAGAGGTCACACGTGACACATTCAGGTCTCATGTGACACATACAGGTTACAAGTGCCACATACAGGTCACATGTGACACATACAGGTCACATGTGACACATTCAGGTCTCATGTGACACATACAGGTTACAAGTGTCACATACAGGTCACATGTGACACAAGCAGGTCACATGTGACACATACAGGTCACATGTGACACATACAGGTCACATGTGACACATGCAGGTCTCATGTGACACATACAGGTTACATGTGGCACATACAGGTCACATGTGACACAAGCGCGTCACATGTGACACATACAGGTCTCATGTGACACATACAGGTTACAAGTGCCACATACAGGTCACATGTGACACAATCAGGTCACATGTGACACAAGCAGGTCACATGTGACACATACAGGTCACATGTGACACATACAGGTCACATGTGACACATACAGGTCACATGTGACACACACAGGTTACATGTGGCACATACAGGTCACATATGACACAAGCAGGTCACATGTGACACATACAGGTCACATGTGACACATACAGGTCACATGTGACACATACAGGTTACATGTGGCACATACAGGTCACATGTGACACAAGCAGGTCACATGTGACACATACAGGTCACATGTGACACATACAGGTCACATGTGACACATACAGGTCTCATGTGACACATACAGGTTACATGTGGCACATACAGGTCACATGTGACACAAGCAGGTCACATGTGACACATACAGGTCACATGTGACACATACAGGTCACATGTGACACATACAGGTTACATGTGGCACATACAGGTCACATGTGACACAAGCAGGTAACATGTGACACATACAGGTCACATGTGACACATACAGGTCACATGTGACACATACAGGTCACATGTGACACATACAGGTTACATGTGGCACATACAGGTCACATGTGACACAAGCAGGTCACATGTGACACATACAGGTCACATGTGACACATACAGGTCGCATGTGGCACATACAGGTTACATGTGACACAAGCAGGTCACATGTGACACAAGCAGGTCACATGTGACACATACAGGTCACATGTGACACATACAGGTTACATGTGGCACATACAGGTCACATGTGGCACAAGCAGGTCACATGTGACACAAGCAGGTCACATGTGACACATGCAGGTCATATGTGACACATACAGGTCACATGTGGCACAAGCAGGTCACATGTGACACAAGCAGGTCACATGTGACACATACAGGTCACATGTGACACATACAGGTCTCATGTGACACATACAGGTTACATGTGGCACATACAGGTCACATGTGACACAAGCAGGTCACATGTGACACATACAGGTCTCATGCGACACATACAGGTTACAAGTGCTACATACAGGTCACATGTGACACAAGCAGGTCACATGTGACACATACAGGTCACATGTGACACATACAGGTCACATGTGACACATACAGGTCACATGTGACACATGCAGGTCACATGTGGCACATACAGGTTACATGTGACACAAGCAGGTCACATGTGACACAAGCAGGTCACATGTGACACATACAGGTCACATGTGACACATACAGGTTACATGTGGCACATACAGGTCACATGTGACACAAGCAGGTCACATGTGACACAAGCAGGTCACATGTGACACATGCAGGTCATATGTGACACATACAGGTCACATGTGGCACAAGCAGGTCACATGTGACACAAGCAGGTCATATGTGACACAGGTCACATGTGACACAAGCAGGTCACATGTGACACATACAAGGGGCAGTAACTTCAAGCTCAACAATCGGGATTCCCGAACCGGACATAAATGGTTGGGTTGGGTACTGCAGTTGGAAAAAATTATGATGAAAAATTGATGGACATTTGATAAGCCGCAGACAAGTTCAAGTTCAAGTATGTTTATTGAGATAAGCAATAAATACATCTCAAAGGGATAGAGTAGCTTAGGCTATTTCTACCCCCCAAAGCCGCAGACGTACTGTCTCCGTAAATGCCTGTAAGGTAAATTCAAGTAAATCTCTCTCTCCCTATATTTTTTATTTAATTTGTCTCCTCTGTTCACCTTCCTCCTAATCCTGCTTATCTCTCCCCCCTCTCGTTCCTTCCCTCTCATTTTAAATACAAGTTCTACCATTCCCATAGTCTATTTCTTTCGTGTAACAAAGATGAAGTTGGATAGACCTAGGTATCCCCCATCTCTGCTGTCAAAACTATATTGTTCCAAACACTCAGGTCTGATAGGGAAAAATTACTGATTCCCAACAACCTGAAAGCACCAGTATAAAAAGCTATGATTTGTTCAGATCTGAAACCTATATCTATAGGTAGCACAAAACGTCCACCAGACTATGCGACACAGTGGTTGCCAGGATCAGGTTGGGTTACCTTAATTAACCTGTGACAGGTGGCTATAGGTGAAGGATCTCCCAATCCTGAGGATTCCAGGTGCAAACTCTGTGAGCAAGAACTGCGACATGATCTCCCACACTTCATCACAGAATGCCAGTTATTAGACCTTTCAGACCCGATGGCATAAGGTACCTGGAGCTTTACAATTACTTCATGCACTCTCGCGTTCTTGAAGACATCCTCATATTGCACCCAAAATTTGCCGGTGCAGGCTACTGAACATATGACCCTGTATGACTAACCATCCTGCGAGATGGGGACTTTTAGTACCACTGCTACCTTATTCACTCTTGAATTCATGATATTCTTATAATGCACCTGGAGTCTGTCAGTGCAGACTACTTATCATATGCGTCTCTATGACTAACCATCCTATGTGGTGGGGATTTTTTAGCATCACGTAGCTAGCTTTTTGAAACACTGTACTCCCGTTCATACAGTCTAGAGTAGCTGCACAAATGCAGATGTACCTAATGTATTAATAAAAAATCTTTTCCCCTCGCATTCCCTCTTAACTTTCTCTCATTTAATCTTTCCTTTGTTCAAATGCCCTCTCTACTTCACTTTCTTTATTATTGGCACGATATAACAAAATGAATGTCTAACAACTGAGCTATATTCACGTATACAGCGAGCAGTGTTGACGGAGCACATGTACACTACCTCCCTCGCACGTGGCCAGCTCCCAACTGGCTCAGGACGACGGTGGCGCCCCCAACCGCAGTGGGCTCCAGCATGGCTAAATTACAATTATTAGTTACTATCACATCACAACTGTAAATTTCATAGCTTAAATATGATTGGAGCCCCGTACCTGATTCCGCTGTCTGGCAGTAACCTTGCCGACAAACCCACATACTGGGTATCGGGGCCTTAATAGGCACGTAAACTCAATATACAGCCTGGCGAGCCATGGCATTTAACCTCCCAAAAGACTCACCGTCACCCGTTGTACAGTGAGGTGTGTACTCACCTATTTGTGCTTGCGGGGGGGGGGGGGGGGGGGGTTGAGCTCTGGCTCTTAGGTCCCGTCTTTCAACTGTAAATCAAATGATGTACCGGTTCCTGAGCCTACTGGGCTCTATCATATCTACACTTGAAATTGTGTATGGAGTCTGCCTCCACCACATCACTTCCTAATGCATTCCATTTGTCAACCACTCTTGACACTAAAAAAGTTCTTCCTAATATCTCTGTGGGTCATTTGAGCACTCAATTTCCATCTGTATCCCCTATAGTGCGTGTGCTCTTTGTGTTAAATAGAATGTCTTTATCTACCCTATCAAGTCCTTTTAGAATCTTGTATGTGGTAATCATGTCCCCCCTAAATTTTCTGTCTTCCAGCAACGTGAGGTTTAATTCCCATAGTCTCTTCTCCTAGCTCATACCTCTCAGCTCGGGTACTAGTCTAGTGGCAAACCTTTGAACCTTTTCCAGTTTAGTCTAGTGCTTGACTAGATATGAACTCCATGCTGGATGGAGCTGCATACTCCAGGATTGGTCTGATATATGTAGTATACAAAGTTTTGAATGATTCCTTACACAAGTCTCTAAATGCCGTTCTTATGTTGGCCAACCTGGCCAATGCCGCTGATGTTATCCTCTTGATATGGGCATCAGGGGACAGGTCTGGCGTGATATCAACCCCCAAGTCTTCCTCTCTCTCTCTGACTCTTAAAGAATTTCATCTCCCAAATGATACCTTGAACCTGGCCTCCTATTCCCTACACCTATCTTCATTACATTTCATTTGCTTGGGTTAAACTCTAACAACCATTTGTTCGACCATTCCTTCAGTTTGTCTAGGTCTTCTTGAAGCCTCAAGCAGTCCTCTGACTTAATCCTTCTCATAATTTTAGCATCATCAGCAAACATTGAGAGGAATGAGTCTATACCCCACGGGAGATCATTTACAAATATCAGAAACAGGATAGGACCGAGTACAGAGCCCTGTGGGACTCCACTGGTGACTTCACGCCAATCTGAGGTCTCAACCCTCACTGTTTCCTATTGCTTAGGTATTCCCTTAACCTCTGGAGCACCTTACCAGTTACTCCTGTCTGTCTCTCCAGCTTATGTACCAGCCTCTTATGGTGTACCGTGTCAAAGGTTTTCGGACAGTCCAAGAAAATGCAGTCCACCCAGCCTTCTCTGTCTTACTTAATCTTTGTCACCTGGTCATAGATTCTATTAAGCCAGTAAGGTAAGATTTACCCTCCCTGAACCCATGTTGTCGATTTGTCACGAAGCCCCTTCTCTCCAGATGTGTTACAAGGTTTTTCTCAAGATTATCTCCATCATCTTGCATGGTACACAAGTCAAGGTCACCGGCCTGTAGTTCAGTGCCTCTTGTCTGTCGCCCTTTTTGTATATTAAGACCACATTAGCTGTCTTCCATTTTTCTGGTAGGTCTCCCGTCTCCAGTGACCTACTATACTCTATATGGAGAATGGCAATCAAAGTGCCTCTGCACACTCTTTCAATACCCATCTTGAGGTTATCTTGAGATGATTTCGGGGCTTTAGTGTCCCCGCGGCCCGGTCCTCGACCAGGCCTCCACCCCCAGGAAGCAGCCTGTGACAGTTGACTAACACCCAGGTACCTATTTTACTGCTAGGTAACAGGGGCATAGGGTGAAAGAAACTCTGCTCATTGTTTCTCGCCGGCGCCTGGGATCGAACCCAGGACCACAGGATCACAAGACCAGCGTGCTGTCCGCTCGGCCGACCGGCTCCCCTATGGTGAGATCCCGTTTGCAGCAACAGCCTTTCGATCTCACATCCAGATCCAACAGGTGTCTCTTGACCTCATCTCTCGTAATTTCGAACCCCTTCCAAGGCCGCCTGGTTTACTGCCCCCTTTCCTAGTGCAGTGATTTGACCTTGTTCTATTGTGAAGATTTTCTGGAACATCTTGTTGAGTTCTTCACACACCTCTTTGTCATTCTCTGTATACCTGTCCTCGCCTGTTCTAAGTTTCATTACCTGTTCTTTCACAGTTGTTTTCCTCCTGATGTGGCTGTGGATCAGTTTTTGTTCGGTCTTGTCTTTATTTGCTATATCATTTTCATACTGTCTCTGCTTCTGTTCTCACACTGATATACTCATTTCTGGCTCTCTCTGCTTTCAGGTGTTTTGTTATTTCGGAAGTTACTTCACGCCCTTTCGTTCCTTTCATTTTCTTCCATACATGCCCTTTTAAACCCTGGATTCTTCGTTTGCTTCTCATTTTTTCCTTTTTGGCCGGGATAACCCTGTTTACTGCCTCCTGACATTTTTGGGTGACATAGTCCATCATGTCTTGTACGGTCTTAGTTCTGAGTTCTGTGTCCCTTAGGAATTTTCTTATCTCATAATTTCCCTTTCGATATACCAGCCCTTTGTTTTCTATTTTTTTTGGGGGGGGGGGGGGATTATTCCTAGCTCTACCAGGTACTCAAATATCAATACATTGTGATCACTCATTCCCAAGGGGGCTTCCAACTTAACTTTCCTTATTTCCGACTTATTCAGGGTGAATATCAGATCAAGCATTGCTGGTTCGTCTTCTCCTCTCATTCTTGTCGGTCCCTTGATATGTTTGTTGGCTTTGAATGTTTCTTGTTGCCACGCCCAGCAGGTTAGCTCTCCATGTGTCTGGTCCTCCATGTGGGTCTTTGTTCTCCCAATCTATCTTCCCATGGCTGAAGTCTGGCATGATTAGCAGTCTGGATCCGTTCTTGCTAGCGACAGAAGCTGCTCTATTATATTAATGGTAGCCATGTTGTTTCAATCATATTCCTGTCAGGGTCTTCTGTCATTTGATGGGGGGGGGGTCTTATATATGACTACTACTCTACGTTTTTGTCCCCAAATTGCTATGGTACCTGTTATGTAGTCACTGAAACATTCACAGCCCTGGATAACAATCTCTTTAAAACTCCAGTCTTTTCTTGTCAGGAGAGCTACTCCACCTCTTCCTTCCCTCTTTTTCCTAACTACATAGTATTCCTGCAGAAACACTGCATTTGTTTTGGTTTTCGTTATCTTTGTTTCTGTGAGTGCTATTATGTCTGGGTTTTCATCTTGTGCCCATTTTCCAAGTTCACTATAACTTGGAGAATATATTTGTAATCCCATCTATGTTTGTATACGTTGCCTTGAAGCTCACTTTCTCCTGTCCATTGTTTCCTCTTCTTGGGGGTCTTTCTGCTGATGGAGGAAGTCGATCCATAGGCGTGGAGATTTGTGAGTTGGTTAACAGGGTCTCAGAGGATTCAAGAGTGATGGGTGGGGGGTCAAGGGAAGGGGGAAAGGGAGGGTATGGGGTGTGGGTGAGGGAGGGCTGGGAGGATATTTGGTGAGGGGGAGGAGGGCCAAAGAAGGGTATGGGATGAGGGAGGGTTGGGGGACAGGGAAGAGATGAGGTGTGAGGGGAGGGGGGACAGGGAAGAGATGGGGGTGTGAGTGGAGAGGGGGAGGATGGACAGGGAGGGTAAGGGGTGAGGGGGAATGGGGGACAAGGAGGGTATGGGGTGAGGGAGGATTGAATGGGAGCAGGGTAAGGAGGGTTTCTATGGGGGGGGGGGGTAGGGGAGTTGTCTTCTCCTCTGGGGTTGCTAGGGTGCTGGTTGAGCGTTTCCCACTCCTCTCCGGGACTGTTATGATGGGGGATGTGGTTCCCTAGTTCTCTCCTCTTCCCCCGTGGTTCTTCCTTGGATCTGCTGCCATTGCCCTCTCTTCCCTCATCATGTCCTTCTGGAAGAATATCTTTTTTGTATCCTCTCACATTTAACAGTTGGCTCTTCTTTGCTAGAATTTCTTGCTTTGTGTTCTCGTTTATAAACACTATCTTTATCAGGTGATCTCTGTCCCTTGTTGTACCAGCCTAGCCTGAAAACCTTCTCTATGCTTTGTCCAGCTCTTTCCATCTATAACCCCTTTAGGATCTCTCTTACTGCCACACTGTTCTTATCTTTCGACTCTGTCTTATTGGAACTTTCTTGTTCTTTAACCACCGTGCTGCGCGGCCTTAAAATACAACATTCCAGCTGTGTGCTAATAATAAATTCTTTGCAAAAAAATCTTTTATCTTCCTATATTGTTAAAATGGAGTCTCTGATCATTCTCTTCTTATATTGTTAAAATACAGTCTCTGATCACGAGAAATTAAAAAGATATTGTATGTGACATACTTTAGCCATGATGGAACTGAGAAGTTGAGCAAATTATGGGCGCAGAGCGATGGAAAGTTGGTCACTCGACCTTGCCCGCTCGCCGCCCCGTGGGGCGGCAGTTGCTACGAATATAATTTTGCACATTTATTTTAATGTTTCTCATATGTTTCTTCTCTATTTTTTGCTGTAATATTATTCAAAAGTGTTTAATTTGTGGAATTTATAGTTCAATGTGTGGAACATCGCTATGCTCATAATTATGGGACTCATATATGTGACATGTATGTTATATTCTATGATCAATCAAACAGTGTTTTTGCTGTTATTACACTATATATATACACACACGTTGTATATACCTATCTACATAATTGTTGACCAGAACGAACCACTAAGTTGGTTCCACTACAGTCTCCGTGGTGTAGTGGTAAGACACTCGCCTGGCGTTCCGCGAGCGCTGTCATGGGTTCGTATCCTGGCCGGGGAGGATTTACTGGGCGCAATTCCTTAACTGTAGCCTCTGTTTAACGCAACAGTAAAATGTGTACTTGGATGAAAAAACGATTCTTCGCGGCAGGGGATCGTATTCCAGGGACCTGCCCGAAACGCTACGCGTACTAGTGGCTGTACAAGAATGTAACAACTCTTGTATATATCTCAAAATAATATGGTGAGTCAAAACAACTGGAGTGGCTGCGACACAGCAGCCAGCAGACGCCACCTCCCTCCCTCCCTCTTTCAACACCTTACTCGTCAACATTTCTCCTTCCACCAAACGGTTATTGTTTTTATGACACTATTTACACACGTTAGCTGATATAGTGTCAAAACAACATAGTGACCACAAAAAAACTACATGACAAGTGACACAGCAGCACAGACGACAGTCTCACTCACTTCCTCACCAACACCACCCACACCAAAATGGCTCCTTCCAACATACTCCTTTTGCTGTTATTACACTATATATACACGTTCTATATAAGTATCTACATTTGTGTTCACCATAAAGAACCACTAAGTTGGTATAGTGAGTGTAAACAAGAGTGGCCGCCACACTCAGCTAGCTAACGTTACCTCCCTTCCTCCCTCCTCACCAAGATTACCTCTCCCACCATACTACGCACGTCGCTAATTATCATCACAATGCTGCTATTATCAGAATCCTGGTCACTAAATCCTGTAAATGAATAATTTTCCACAAGTTTATTTTGTAAAGGAGCATGAGACGTCGTGTCAAGATTCTTAGATGGACCAAACAATGGCAGTGTGCTGTGGCTAGCGCTGTGAACATCTTGAACAGCATTGTGTTCACTGATATCTGAACATTGTACACAGTCTTTATCACAGCCAGGCTCTTCTGTAATACTGTACTATCATGGCTAAATAATACCAGTTACATATATATATTTTGACATTTTTAGGCGATGTTTTGGTCACAAGCTGAACAGCAATGCTGTTAGCTCATGCTGCGTGCACCAGCCTTGGTTGCTCACTCAGTACAGAGGTTCTCACACCCGGGAGTGTTGCCTACGATTTTTTTAAAGGCCGTCTGTTTACTAGAGCCCTGAGAAAGCTGATGTAAACCCCGTGTAGCCGCGAGAGTTTTGAATTCTACGCTATACCTTCAATCGCCCTGAGGTACTTTGAACACACCCGATCTAGTGTCTCAAGGCACTCTGTATAGTGCGGTGGTTAATGCCTACTGCTACCACTGATCTTTTCATCTCCGGCAGCTTCCTAGTGCACCTTGCTGTTTCCTGAGAGGTAGCTGCTTTCATGGCTACTTCTTTCACTGTGGATTTTGTTCTGGACAGTATCTAAGCATTTCCGCAAATGTTGCATGTGCAATTCATATAATATGATTTGATAGTTTTGAGAGAGAGAGAGAGAGAGAGAGAGAGAGAGAGAGAGAGAGAGAGAGAGAGAGAGAGAGAGAGAGAGAGAGAGAGAGAGAGAGAGAGAGAGAGAGAGAGAGAGAGAGAGAGAGAGAGAGAGAGAGAGAGAGCGAGAGAGAGAGAGAGAGAGAGAGAGAGAGAGAGAGAGAGAGAGAGAGAGAGAGAGAGAGAGAGAGAGAGAGAGAGAGAGAGAGAGAGAGAGAGAGAGAGAGAGGAGAGAGAGAGAGAGAGAGAGAGAGAGAGAGAGAGAGAGAGAGAGAGAGAGAGAGAGAGAGAGAGAGAGAGAGAGAGAGAGAGAGAGAGAGAGAGAGAGAGAGAGAGAGAGAGAGAGAGAGAGAGAGAGAGAGAGAGAGAGAGAGAGAGAGAGAGAGAGAGAGAGAGAGAGAGAGAGAGAGAGAGAGAGAGAGAGAGAGAGAGAGAGAGAGAGAGAGTGAGGAGATGGATATTTGAGGAGATGGATATTCAGGGCTGTGAAGGTTTCAGTGACTACATAGCAGGTACTGTAACAAATGGAGGGAAAAAAATTATAGTCGTAGTCATATATAATCCACCACCAAATGACAGAAGACCTAGACAGGAATATGACAGAAACAACATGGCCACCATTAACATAATAGAAAGAGCAGCTTCTGTTGCTAGCAGGAATGGATCTGGACTACTAATTATGGGAGACTTCAACCATGGGAAGATAGATTGGAAGAACAGAGACCCGCATGGAGGACCAGAAACATGGAGAGCTAAGCTGCTGGACGTGGCAACAAGAAACTTTCTAAGCCAGCACACCAAAGAACCAACAAGAATGAGAGGAGAAGATGAACCAGTAATGCTTGATTTGATATTTACCCTAAATGAATGGATATAAGGGAAGTTAAGATGGAAGCGCCCTTGGGAATGAGTGACCACAGTGTATTGAACTTTGAGTACCTGGTAGAGCTAGGACTTATCTCCCCCCAAAAAGAACTAGGAATCAAAAGGCTGGCATACCGAAAGGGAATTATGAACAGATGAGAAGTTTCCTAAGTGAAATACCTTTGGGACACAGACCTCAGAGACAAGTCTGTACAGGGTATGATGGACTATGTTACCCAAAAGTGTCAGGAGGCAGAAAACAGGTTCATCCCGGCCCAAAGGGAAAAATCCGAGAAGCAACAGAAGAATCCATGGTATAATAGGGCATGTATGGAAGCGAAGAAACTGAACAAAAAGGCGTGGAGGAACTTCCGGAATAACAGAACACCAGAAAGCAGAGAGAGATACCAGAGAACCAGGAATGAGTACGTCAGGGTGAGAAGAGAAGCAGAGAAAAATTTTGAAAATGATATAGCAAACAAAGCCAAGACCGAACCAAAGCTACTCCACAGTCACATCAGAAGGAAAACAACAGTGAAAGAACAGGTATTGAAACTTCGAACAGGCGAGGACAGGTATACAGAGAATGACAGAGAGGTGTGTGAGGAACTCAACAAGAGGTTCCAGGAGGTCTTCACAATAGAACAGGGTGAGGTCACTGTGCTAGGAGAAAGGGAGGTAAACCAGGCGGCCTTGGAGAGTTCGAAATTACGAGAGAGGAGGTCAGATCCTGCTGGATCTGGATCTGGATGTTGGTATAGTTTCAGTACCATGGGTACTGAAAGAGTGTGCAGAGGCACTTTGCTTGCCACTCTCCATAGTGTATAGTAAGTCACTAGAGACGGGAGACCTACCAGAAATATGGAAGACGGCGAATGTGGTCCCAATATACAAAAAGGGCGACAGACAAGAGGCACTGAACTAC